TGGTCCGGGGGGGGGGGAATACCCATACATTTTGACAATTTAGGAGGTTTCAAAGGCTTATTTAATCGATTTTAGAGTCTAATAGGGCCTAACATGTAGAAAATACATATAATTTTTTTTCTCCCCGACGAATTGTGCTATTACTCCCCGACTGAGGGGGAGGGGGTGGGGGTAGCTCTCCCAGACGGGAGCTGGCGCCACCACTGATATCATGTACATATATGGGCATACAGCAATTTTTTTTGTCAAGAAAATTGATTGTGTAGATGGACTGGAATAATACACACATTTTAGAAAGTATAGCAAACACATTCCAAAGACAATCAGTATCAGTATTTCAGTAGGGCCTATTTATTGGACCTCACTTTAAAAATATTAAGGTAAATTATGAACATTAGATTGGATTACATTATACAGTGTAATCATGGAAAAGTAGAAAATACAGCCAAAGAACGTCTTTGGATCTGCAAGGCCCCAATCAATGAGCGGGGAAGCTGATGCAATGAATTATAGCACATACGAAAACCTTTTATTACACCTAGATTTTCAGAAAGTGGCACCAGTCCGGGACCATTAGAACATCTCAATCATCTGAGTCTGAATAATATTTATTTTACACGAAAGTATATACACACTAAACTTTAACAAAATGGTAACATTCAGTGTAAAAAAGGACACCACAAACAATTTAAGCCTCTAAGGCACCATTTGCTTACAGAAATCTATTATTATTTACATTATTAGAATTTTTTTTATGTTATGCAATTCTATAAACCAAATTATGAAATTCTAGAATAGTGTAGCATGTATGATGAGTAAATGTAACTTGAGGTCATGGAACTAAATGGAACTAAAAAAAGGAACGCTGTTAATTAATTTCTTATATTCCAACCATTTATTATCTCAATCGTTTTATACTTGTCTTTATAGTTTGTACCTATTTTATAATTTTATGTTTAAAATCATTTTTATCTATATTTTGATCTTTATCTTATTACACAATAATGATATAGTATTATTATTTTGCTAAAATTTAGTATACAAATGTATATGTTAGACGAAATGATGGCTGGAAGAACAACCAAAATAGACCTTATAATCGATGATGCATCAACTTTACAATTCATACAAAGCATGATTGAAAAATCAGGTAATAATGAAGACATCCATAAGTGGCTTGAAACAGTTAACTCAGTTCAGTCCACGGGATGCAAACTGCCA